CCACCCCATGTAGAGCTGCTCCCTTGATATATTTGCTTTAAATCAGGGTAACTGTAAGGCTCTTGTTTACCCTGCAGGAGCTGTACCCTGTGGTCACTGGAGGAGTACCTGAGACGACAGAGCTGCTGAAGCAGAGATTCGATCACATCTTCTACACCGGCAACTCCACAGTGGGCAAAATTGTGATGGCAGCGGCTGCCAAGCACCTGACGCCCATCACCCTGTGGGCAAAATCGTGATGGCAGCGGCTGCCAAGCACCTGACGCCCATCACCCTGGAGCTGGGTGGGAAGAGCCCCTGCTACATCGACAAGGACTGTGACCTGGCCGTCGCCTGCAGGTCAGGCTGCTGAAGCCCTTGGTGGGGGCTCAGCGGTGGGGCAGGGGGACATCTCTGGGCCATTGTCCCCAGACCGTGGGCGTCACTCAGGCGCTGTCGGCCAGGCTGTGGGGGCTGGAAGGGAGTGACCATGGAGAAACCATCTTTCCTTCTCCCGTAGGCGGATAACATGGGGGAAGTACATGAACTGTGGGCAAACCTGCATCGCTCCGGACTACATCCTGTGTGACCCGTCCATCCAAAGCAAGGTGGTGGAGAACATCAAGGCGACTCTGCAGGTGAGCGTGGAGTTCCCCGTGCTGTGGGAGTTGTCCCCGTTACAGCCCAGGTCTGAGTTTTGTAACTGCAGCCCTGGAGCTGTGGTTGTTGTGAAGGTTTGTTGAGCGCTTTCTGCTGTGCCCTCTGGCAGGAATTCTATGGGGAAGATGTGAAGTCATCTCCCGATTATGAAAGGATTGTCAACAAGCATCACTTCAAGAGGATCATGGGCCTGCTGGAAGGGCAGAAGATCGCTTACGGGGGAGAGGCTGATGAAGCCTCGTGCTTCATAGGTGCTTCTGGCGGCTGTTGGGGAGGTGGAGGGTGGGACCTTCTGCTGTCGCGGGTGTCTTGGGGACTGTGCGTGTCTGTGGCTTGCTTGGTGCGTGTTGAGCGCAGGCGGTGCCCAGGATGAGGTCCTGTGATTGACCACGTCTTCTGTGCTGCTCCCGCCATCTCCCGCCCTCCTGTTTGCCTCAGCACCGACTATCCTCACCGACGTTTCTCCCGAGTCAAAGGTGATGGATGAGGAGATCTTTGGACCGGTCCTCCCCATTCTGTGTGTGAAGAGCGTGGGCGAAGCCATTGAGTTCATCAACCGTCGGGAGAAGCCCCTTGCCCTGTATGTCTTCTCCAACAACAAGAAGGTGGGTCCGGGCTGTGCTCCCCCACGGGGCGTGCCTGCGCGGTTGGATCCTGAACGCGGCCAGTCCCAGGCACAGCTCCCCGCAGGGCCCGTGTCAGCTCCTCTTTGCTTGTGAATCGCAGCGTTTGCCTCGCGGGGGACCACGAGTGTCCCCAGAGCTGCTGGTGGCTCCCAGCCTCCTGCTAAAGGACTCTGGGTTTGCGCAGCTCCCTCTGTGCCTTGGCCGTCCGTCGCGCACCGTCCCCCTGTCCCACACCGGTGGATGCTGGTTCCTTGCACATCTCCTGCCCGTGCTACAGGCTCTGTTGTGCCAGCTCAGGAATTTAGGGCAGGGCTTTGCCCTGACACAGCAGCCCCAGGTAGGTTTGGGGGGGGCTGAGGAGTGCCCCAGGCTATGGCTGATGTGCCACCACCTCTGACCTGTCCCACTGAGATGGAGCCTTTTCGCTTCGTGACTGTTCCAGCTGGGCAGATCTTGTGCTTAAATCATGTGAACCCGGCCTCTCCCAAAGAACAAGGCGCAGCCTGTGTCCCCCCACACAAAGGGGGATGCAAGCATCACCTCGACACCCACCCGCTCTGGTAAATGCCACGTTGTTGGTGGCCCATCTTGATTTCCCTCTGTTCTGTGCCATCTCTCGTTCTGGGTGGCTGTGGTGGTGCAGCCCCCCGGGCCACTCTGAGATCTCGGGGTAAGGCATGCGTGCTTTGGGAAAAAAATCCCACTGTCTGTTCTCTTGGATGCAAGTGCAGTAGCCAGGGGCTGGGGGGGTCAGGCACCCACTGGCCACACCTGGGCCATCTGCCGCCTGAATTGTACGCCAGCATGACTTGGCGCAAATTGTGGCCAGAATGAAAAATACTGACCAAAGCCGATCATCTCCAGATCCTATAAATAGCGATCCAAGAGGGAAGACCCTTCGAGCTCTCCGGGACCGCAGCAGGCTGGGTGGCCCAGTATCTCCCCCTGAGCTGGGACGCCTCTCAGGGTAGATTGCGCGAGGGTTGAAGGATCGTCCGTCAATAATTTCACGAGCACTCGAAGGCCTGATTTCGTGAGGTTCACCGACCATCTGTTGATGAATGCCGGTGCATAAAAGTGAGTAATTCATGAAACTCATGAAAAGGGAAATTTTAAACAGAGGTTAACTTCTGTCTGTGTGTGTGTGCAATTTGATTCGGAACTGTTCGTCTCTGTGTGTCTGTGCAATTTGATTTAGAGCTGCTGTCGGTCTGTCTGTGTGTGCGATTTGATTTAAACCCCACCTGTGTGTGCAACCCTGCTGTAAGTTTCGGGTGATCCTTACCATTCTCAAACCTTGAACTAAGTCGCAATTTTGATTGTAACAAATTCCATTGAATCGCTCTGTTAAACCGGCTGATGCTTAAGTGCTGTTAAGAATTATACAACCTAGTTTTGTGATCTATCTCAAAAATATTAATAAACCCTAAATTGCTGCTAACCCAAAGCCATGTAAAAAATCATACTTGCGACAGTAGCTGATCAGACAAGTGATATTGAAGATCTCCAGCGGCAGCGTGACAGCCAGCGACATCCTCATGCACTCTGAGGTTCTGGGTCTGCCCTTCGGCGGCGAGGGTAAGTCCCTGCTCCATCCCATGCACCGGGTTTCCGTCTCCCAGCAGCAGCCTCTGACCCATGTGCCTTCATGCCCGTTTGGCAATTCAGGAACTTTCAGCTGTGTTTTCCCATTAATACTATTTTCACTGGTGGGTTCCTTTGTAAAAAGGCTCATTAGTGGCTGGAGCAGTGTTGGTGCCAGTGGGAGAGGAAAACCCTCTGGCACATCTGTCCGCAGCTCCGGTTCTCCCGTGCCGGGGCGCGGGATGAAGTCGCCTGTGGCCGAGCAGCTGGTTGAGTTTCCACAGTCGCTGTCGGGCTCATGGCTTTGTGGCCAAGACAACCTGGCTGCGGGTAGAGGGCTGAGCTCGTGGGTGTTTCTGATGGGAGGTTGCTGAACGTCCTCCTTATGCCCCACCGCTTGAAATAATAGACCCTGTTCCTCCTGTCCCCAAACCCCATGTAAATTTTGCGGGAGAGGTAGGACTGGCCCTGGGGAGGAGAGGGCTGGTGCTGCTAACGTTTCAAGGATGGGTGCACACAACCAGCCTGAGCACCAGTTCAAGGCACTGAGCAGGTCCTCACTTATTTCTGGGTAGTTATTAAAGCTGCTCTTCACTTCTCTGCCCTTGGGGAGCAGAGCAGCTGCTCCGGGTGTGAGAAGCACCATGACCAAGCTTTCCCTGTGTCCGGGGGGTTGCCAAACAGAATTTAAGAAACGCAACTGTCACCGTGCATGGTGTGACCTGCCTGGGTTGTATCCCTCAGGTAACAGTGGGATGGGCACGTACCACGGCCAGCACAGCTTTGAGACCTTCTCCCACCACCGCTCCTGCTTGATCAAGGACCTGAAGATGGAGGTGAACAAACTCCGGTACCCACCTGGCAGCCAGAAGAAGGTGGATTGGGCCAAGTTCTTCCTCCTGAAGCGGTTTAACAAGGGCCGAGTGGGACTGGTCATCTTGGCCCTGCTGGGGATCGTGGCAGCGGTGGTGATAAAGGTGAGCTTTGGCTCTTTGCCACCTACATGAGTGCGTGTTCCCAGCGCCATCCCCTGAGCCCTGCCTGGTCCCAGCCTCCATCACCCCGTTGCCTTGGGCTCTGCTCCCTCCCTGTGGGAGTCATCCTTGTTTCTGTGCCTCTCCAGATGATGTCAAGAGGCGTGATCAGCAGTCAGCAGCACACTGGACCTGTAACCCACCACTCACTCCCTACAGTCCTAGTGCTGAACGTTTTTTTTTTTTTTGCTGCAATTTCTTTTCTTCCAAGGCAGCCAGTGCCCTGAAGAGGAAGAAGCACGTAAAGCAGAGAAGCTCTGAGCTGGTGGCTCCGGCTCCTTCTGAAACACAGGAATCGATTGAGACCTACACCGTTGGTCATGCCTCAGCAGTGAGTTGGCAGCAGGTGGAAGGAGGCAGCATCTGCCCTGCTTTGCAAACAAGAGCCAGCCCATCTAAAAGCTCTTGGGAACAGGGGAGCTGTTTATTACAAGGGTGTCAAAACAAAGCCAGTTGTTACTGAGCCTTGCTGGATAAAACCTTTGTTTTACTGTGAAGGGCACCTGGGGCAGGGCAAGACCCCCATGCCCTGGGGTCCCGCAGGGGCTGCAGCCCCCAGCGTCGGGTGTTCCCCTGCTCTGGCCGGAGCCCTGCCCTCAGCCTCCACCCGAAGGAGCCAGCCCGAGTCCACATGGGTTTATTCTTTATTTGGCATTTGTCACGGAGCAGCGGTGTGAGCCAGGCTGCGCTCGGCTCCGGTCGGCAGGTGATAGCCAGCAGCGTGGGCTGGAGGGGGTTACCTGCACGCTCGGTGTGCGTCTGGCAGCCCAGAGCAGCGTTTTGGGTGTTGGAGGAGCAGCAGCAGGGCCCGTTCCCAAGCAATGTCTGAGCAGATACTGCCAAATGCTGACTTTGGCTCCCATGGGACAGGCGTGTGCTGGATTCTCGTGCTGGCCGGTCCGTGCTTTGTATGTCCATCCGTCAGAAGGGGCTTTCGCCCCCCTCCCCCCCCAAAGCAAGGTCCCCAGAGTCCCTACTGCGAGTCAGTGTTTGCTGGTCATCAGCTTTATGACAACGCCAAGCGCAAGTACCCCTACGGCTGCGGCTGGGGCCCGGCCACCCCGCGCCAGCCACGCCCACGCCGGACGATCAGCTCCTTGGTGACCGTGGCAGTGGCTGGAGGGGATGTGGCAGGTGTGGCTTCCTGGGGCTCCAGCTGGTACCTCGGTCCCTCCATCCTGGTGATGCCCGTGAGCACGATGCCGTTCTGCGCGTCCATTCCCGCTGCAAGGAGAATGGGGTAGCGTCGCTGAGGGCTTATGAGGGGATTGAGGGGTTTCTTGGGAGGGTTTTGACTGAGGTCTGAAAGCACATTATGAGCAGCCCAGAGCGTGGAGGTCTCCAGCCCTCGACAGAGCTTCGGCAGAACCTGGTGTCTGCAAGGTGAGAACTGCCCAGGGTGCCCCATCCTTCCAGGTTCTCCCAGCCTCTGTCACTCTCCCGATCCCACCCTTGTAATTACTGTTTTCCCAGTAACTGAGAGCATCACCAGCCCTACGCTGCACCCCCATTTCGTGGGCTTCTGCCTGGCTCATGTGAATCCTTGGAGACCCTTCCTGGACCCAAAGCCACCGCTGCACCCAGTGCCCAGCTCCTGGCCATACCTACGCACCCCCGCACCGCCGTGGCGGGGGGGTAAGGGTGGGGCTGTGGGGCTGGCCCCACACCAGAGGGAAGCGCCTTGCAGGATGGTTCGGGGGCTGGGTTCGGCTCCTCCGGCGGTAGCTGGCTCACTCCTGCACGGTGCTGAGCCTGGGGGAGGGAACACACTGGGTTTAGCCAGTGGTGCATGGTGCGGGAAATCCCCACCGAGCAAAGCCAACACGTTGCCTCTTGTGGGGTTCATCTGGCTGGAAATGGCACCGTGTAGCTGAAAGATGCCCAAAATGAGAGCTGCTGGCTGGTGGAAACCCTGAAGCTGTTGGGGCACAAGGTGATGCTCAGGGCTGCAGGGCTGAGGGTAGCCTCGGTCACTGCATCTGCTTTGTTCTTGATGTCCCCAGCCAAGGGTGGCACGAGGTGCAGAGGGAAACCGTGAGGCCGTCAAGTGCGTGTGTGGGAGGGAGCTGAATACAGGGACATGACTGCGGTCATGGGAGCGCTGGGTTTTACTGGGAGCTGAAGGACAGCCCTGGGCAGCACTGGCCCATGGGATCGAGCCCGTGATGCTGTCTCATCCCGATGCGATCCCAGCCAAGGCACTGAGGACCTTCCCGCTGGCAGGGCACGACGCTGCGGGTGCGCGGGTTACCTCCTCGGCCGCTTTCCTCCAGTCCGTGCGGGCGATGTAGGCAACGAAGCAGGTGCAGAGGATGGAGACGCAGACGAGCATGCTGAGCCACAGGCCTGCAGAGGACATGCCAGCATCAGCCAGGTGCCGCAGCCGGAGCAAACCCAACCGAAATGGCATCTCAGGACAGCGAGTCAAGAAAGGGGACATCACCAAGGTCAGCAGGGACACGGGGATGGGGCGGCTGTGGGTGCCTGCTGCGGGGCTGCCCAGCAGACCTGGCAGTGGTTGCTTTTCCCCAGTACAATTAAAAGCTCTGAGTAGTTGCAGGGGCCATCCCAGTCCCCCCCAGTGTGCCCAGTCCCCAGCCAGGTAGGAGGGCAGAGCCAGGCGGGAGGGTCAAGGCGAGCCATCAGCAGAGATCGTCTACCTGTGGGGGATTGGGGGGCAGGCAGAGCTGCGTGCCCGGGGGTTGGTACCTATGACGCCGATCTTGGCCACGAAGAGCAGCACAGCTCCCAGGGGCAGGCCCACACCGTAGTAGCTCACGGCGTTGAGGATGGCACCGAATTTCTGCTTGCCTATGCCTCTGAGCACCCCGCTGCAGGCGCCCTGCCGGGAAGAGGGAGAGGGGCTGGAGCCGGGAGCACCGCCTTGGCCGAATTCGGGGCTCTGTCGCTGCCTGCGGGCTGGTGAAGCAGCTCCCTGCCTCTGCTCAGTTATTTCTGTGTCCCTGCCCGGTCCTGCGGGTCGGCAGCGATTTGTGCATTTGGTGTTTTCTAAGGGATGACCCCAGGAGCTCTGCAGGGCCCCGGTGCCTGTGCTGGTGCCCACCCGCAGCCTGAGGGACCCCCGACCGACCGACCTGCAATGCTGCTGCTCAGCACCGAGGCCCCCTAATGAAAGTAGAAGCATGCCCAGGACTTACACACATCGCTTCAAACAAGTGGAAGACAACATAGACTGGCATGACCCAGGCCACCAAGTCAACGATCTCCCTGGGGACAGAGAAGAGCCAACAATCGCTTTTGGGAACCAACCTCTGCACACCAGGGCCAGGAGCCGGGGGCACTCACTTGTCGCGGGTGAAGATGTATCCCAGCACATCCTTCGTGGCGGCTAAAATGGCGCCCACCGCT